ACTTACTAGAGCAATGAAATTAAATACATCGCCGATTGTCTATTCCAAAGATTGTTTATACACAAATAAAAAACTTTTGCTCATATTGCCATTGTTTAAAAACACACATGAAATCTACACACAATGACTTATGACAAGTGGCAAGGGAGCTCTTCAAAAGAATCTGTCATTCTTTGATGTTTACACACTGCTGTGTAATCTGAATCATCAAAGGTGCCGAAAATCAGCTGACTTGCACTCATTTCTTTATAGATCAGATGTTAAAAAAAAAAGATTACACAAAGTCATGTTCAATTTTGCCCATTGTGAAAATATTTTTATCGGATAATTAGCGGGTCAATTTTTGACATAAAAATCTATTAAAAGTAAGTGCGGGCATTTTTTTTATTTTGTTTGTTTGAAACCTGTATTCAATCTGCTTTTAAAGACTAATTTTTTTTTGTTAAATCTGAAAATACTGAACTTGTCAATTGCAGTAGATTTCTCTCGCTCTGTCCTTGAATGTAATTGCTTACGTAATTTGGCGTGTTTTTTTGTTTTTTGTTTTTTTTTGGTTGTTTTACATTTTTACGCATTTCGACCTTCAATGCATTGATGAAATATGATCAAAGCCTAATTATAATTCTGTGAGAATGGCTTGACCCCATTTAACAGACATTCTTTCATAATACACCAATAAACACTTTGCCCAACTAGCAGACGACAGGCTATTCTCGAGTAAAGATAACCGGTTGCCTGTATAAATCGTAGGTAAAATAGTCTGGCATGTGGTAGGTTTAACAGTTAATTAAAATACTTACCGCAACATTTCTTTGACAAGTCGTATTATTAGCAGCGTATTTCAAGACAACACAGAATTTTTTTGGGGGCAGATTTTTTTTTTTTTTTTTTTTTTTTTTTCCCAAAATACAGAGTCGGCGGGTCTGTAAACCGAAATATCAAAAAATAATGGCCTGGGGGTCATCCATGGCCGTTTGGTTAAGGTTGTTGACTGCAAACCATTTGCTCCTCACCTCTGTGGGTTTTAATCTTGGATTCTTTCATGTTACGGAACGTAGGTGGTTCTACTCTAGTCGTCCTTCACAAGTAAAACTGGCAGGTCACCATATGACCTATCTTGGTATACTGTGTTGGTGCCATGTTATACCCAACCAAATAAAATATTGACTCCTTACTAAATACATTTGTATAGGTTATCATATTGTTAAGGTTTTTTATGGAATTTGCATCTTTATAACAACTATGTAGTAAATTAGAACATATATATATGTATGCCCTATTTACCTCCCTTGTGTTGTCAATCACCTGAAGTCAACTTTTATCAGTAGAAATTGAATTTGTTTTATAATCTCAACAATATTATTTATTTATTTATTTGACTTTAAAGCACAACCATATGTTACTATTTGACTACAAACCCAGCCAATATGTTGAATTAACATCTTACTGTATATTAAAACTGTTTTTTTTTTTTTTTTTTTTGCTTTCAGATCAAGCTAGGCTTGCAAAGAAAGAAAAAAGAGGTCACAGAGCCAGATGAGATTCTAGAGACTGATAGATACAAGATTTACATTAATTTAATGTACCGTTACTTTTCACATTTGCTAATTGTACATTTAGATCATTTGATGACAAGTGTACACTTTATGTGCATTTAGTTGCTTTACAATTACCTTATTGTATAGATGTACATGTATTTACAATACTTGATCAATGTATGCATAATGTGAATTTAATTAATTAATGTACAAATGTACATTTACCTAATTGAACGTTTACAATATTTGATACATGTACACTTTATGTACATTCACACGATATACATTTACTTAAGGTAATGTAAATTTACTTGATGTGTAGATGTATCCATGTACATTTCCTTAGAATCTTTATAAAACGAGTACATTGTATTAGGAATACTGTAAAGAAATTTAAATGGGCCATGGTTATGTTTAAATGTGTCATGGTTATGTTTAAATGGGTCATGGTGATGTATAAATGGGTTATGGTTCTGACTGACGACTACAATTGCTATGGATATTTTGTGAAATGTTTGATGTTACCTTAAAGGTGAACAATCTATATGAAGTAATAAGGGATTCGAGCAAACACATTTTGAAGCTATGTTGACATGTTTTTGCTGTAGGTTCAAATATTAGAGTTTGAAAATAATGTATTTTCAATACATAAAATGTTAATCTGATACAGTCGAGACTGCCTAAGCGACCCCCTGATTTAAACGACTCCCTGTCTTATCCGACCTTGTTTCAGTACTCCCAACGTATTTTCCTATATAAATGGTCTGAATTAAACGACTCCCTGTCATATGTGACAAGCGACCCTAATTGTCTGGTCCCAATGCAAATGTTTGGTCTGATTTAAACGACTTTCACACCTTTTAATTGTCCGTTAATCAGATAAATAATACCTATTATAACACCCAGAGGGCCAAAATAATTAAGTCCAATTATAATCCAGTAGCAAACAAAGTCTACACACCTCTATCTCAATTACACAGTATACATGCAGGTATCAAGTGACGTAGTGTCTGTTCATGGGAAGCATGGTGCAATCGACTTATGTGTAATGTACATGATGGCCTGAGTAAACTGGGTTAAGACTTGTGTTAGATTTTTTTTTAATTATATAGTGCCCACGGAAGATTTTTTAAGCAGCATTTTTTTTAATTTACCCTTCTATGGCTGCATAATTAATACGGAAAAAATAATGATACCAAACCAGAAAAAGCTTTTGATATGGATATGTTACACAATTTTTGTAAGGTTTTATTTCATAAATATGATGCTCAAATTAAGATTTGTCAATATTGTAAGTTCAAATAAGCATGATTTATAAAGATATCACCCAATTTAACATTTCATGTAAATAAAGGCTATTAAAGGGAGGTAATTAGAACTTTATTTTCTATAAAATCTAAGTCAAATTTTCCAGTAAGAAATCAATGCATGTAATTTATTGATTAAATATAATGTGCACAAATAATTGCAGTACACATTTTACATATTCTTTGATGTTGGAAAATTGTTTTATTTGCATAAATATATTCATATATATATTTTTTTGCAAGTGTCCTATGCACACAATCACAAAACGTACAGGATCTATAAGTCACAATGGTATATTGACAGATAGATGATATTTAAATTTAATTTTCTTTGAGACTGTATTAAGAGACTCCCTGTCATATGTGACCTTTTTCTGAAGATCCCTTGGAAAGTCACATATGACAGTCTCGACTGTATTTGTTATAATTATGACAGTTACAATTTTATATGCCATTTTTGAGAGCATATTTGATAGCATTGTACATTGTTGGTTTAGGAAGGTGAATGTTTTTGCAAATGGTGTTCATTCAAAATTCTTGAGGCCTTTTAGAGGTTAATATTGAAACTTAGTTTAAAACAGACATAGTCAAAGTTAAATTACTATCAAAATAAAGAAACGCACTCAGGAGTTATGACCCCTAGATAACTGAAAATTGATGAATCTATCTTTGGCCATCCAATTACTTGGGCAATATCTATAGCATGGTTTCTTAACATGGCCAAAGTGTATATATAGTCACTAAGAAGCAAAAATACCAGATTCGTCCTTGAGTTATGGCTCTTGAATCATAAAAACATGATGGAATAACCAGTGTTTGCTCGATAATTTAGATAATATTCAAGGGATCATTATGAAACTTAGTTACAATGTATCTGGACTCAGGATAGATAACCTGGACCACAATTGGAGTTATTGCCCTTGAATGTACAAAATTAAGATTAAAATAGCTAGTGTTATTGTGTTTAATAACATAAATGACAGTGTTCAAAGGCATAAATATTTTGCTATTTTGATATAAATGAGAATAAACTGTCTTATACTTGAAACTGTTGTAATTTTTAGAAAGTTACTGGTATGTGCAGTATGTTTTTACTGGATCTCTTACGAGCATAAACGGAATACTTTCCAAGTTCCTTCAATATGATCAAAAGTAAACCTTTTAGATACACACCTTCTAATGCAAATGTTGGATGAAAAAATAAGGTTCATCGCATTCGTATTTTTAATGTCAAAACGAAACTAAATTCCTAAAACCCTATAAAAACTTTGACGATATTTAACCGGGTGTATTCCAAAGGGATTAGACATTGCCCTGCAGCACAATGCACGGGACAGATTGTCGGTGTATGTGTAGATAGGTTTATTTATACAGGCCGCCGGAATAACCGTATGGGCCAGATAATCTGCGCACTTGTTGGTCCCATCGTAGTCCACATCAGCGGCGGACTTTTCATGCAGAATCTTCCCGAAACCTATTCTTCGCTCGTTGGTGGTTGAAGAAGATGACAATACTATCCAAGGCATTAGCTTTCCGACGGCATCATCTAACAAAAAACGGCTCTTGTTAGTGCCACCCTTTCGAGTTAATCACGACAGGTCAACCAATCATCTGGTACTTGAGATGATTTGACCTGCCGTGTGCCTTTGCGACATGCACGCCTCGGGAGGGATTTAGAGAAGAAATATGATGTCGGTTGCTCAGTTTTCTATTTTGGTATTGAAATATTTAAAGGACTGTTCCAAATGAAAAGCTAGGCAAATCTATAATACAAATTCAGAAGTTCAATGGATAGAGACCATTTAACCATTGATTTGTACAGTAAATAATAATTGTTATACCATATACCATAACAGGTACGTATATTAACATACGTACCTGACCATAAGGAAATTATCTGTAAGAATTGTACCATTAGACACCAAAATTCTACCCACACGAATAGTGCAGGGCAAGATCAACCGGTACATCGGCATTTGTCGTTATTTAGTCAGTACATGTACATGTTTTGATGTTTCGTTTTCTTTCTAAAAATGAATGATTCTTTTCTTTCTTCTGAAAATGAATGGTTCTGTCTAAAAGATGACGGCTTTATAGTTAAGATATTCAGTGTGTTAAGGGTTGAAAATAAACAGATATTTTACGCAGGTAACCTTTGTATTATCAGCATCTTTCAAATAAACCCTGGTCCAATTAAATAAATAGACAATAAATGAAGTATTGGACATACACTGTGACAGTGATTATAGCTTGGAGTAATCTGTGAAATAATTAATTAAACTGATATATTCTTTTTTAGCAGATATTTTAAAATAAGCAACCATTTTTTTCTGACATCTCTGTTCAAAGCCTAATTATTTGAAGATGTGATATTGGAGTCCATAGTGTAGTTTTTAAAACACTTAATAAGATGTCATTTCTCACTGATCGTTAAAGTAACTTCACAAAAGATTTAGTTTAGTCACAGTATCACAGTATGAGTATCTGTCCTTGTCACGTGCACACTCTGTATTCTATTTTTCGTAAATAACAAGCATTGAAATGTGGTATGTGTCAGAAACTACTTGAAAAGCTTTTCAACAGAGTTACTTTCACTATTAAAGCATTGGGATAGATCGATCTGAAGTTGTACACCGTCAGTACCCATATTGTGTACCCGATTTCCGCTAAGTACCATTCACCAATGCGAATGATGTATACATGCACGAGTTACGAGTACGAATGGGTTTCCGAGAATGTCGCCTGTAATGATTGATCGAACTCGTATCCACTAGTCCAATTCGTACTTAATTGGCCAAGGTAAAACGAAAAATTAAAGCCTGTCCGACAATGCGGAAAAAATAATTTCTTTTCTTTCGGACGAGTTTTTCCTCTCAAAATGACATTTTTCCGTTTACCTCCCTTGTTCCGGGCGACCGTGCATCGATTAACTCCCCTGATTTTGGATGCCTTCCGCATGTTTTCTCTCCATGCATTTCCACCACAATGATTTCTCCATTATTGCATGTCTATTCCAAATGACCATAGCCATTGCTTGAAAATTTGTATCTTTTCGCTAACAATCTGAAAAAAAAGAAAGAAAAAGAATTGAACGATGGCGTCCAACTGACGTCATTATGTGAGTTGAAGTCAAATTGATTCAACAACGTGACGAGACCTATCGCAGTCCAGGAGAACAAAAATAATTATATTATCACCATAATTACATATGAGAAATGCAGTGAGCCATAGAAAAAGAAAATTTAATACAGTAATACATGAACGACTTGTATCGGCCAGTGTTTAATTGATCCTGTTGAAAAAACAAAACAATCTAGCTTTTAAATAAGTCCGGACAAGATTGAATTTAAGACTGTAATAACACATATGAATATTGAAATAAGTGAGCAGAAGTCGGATATTTACCGTAAGTTTCGGACAAAAGTCATCACTGATCCACCCAGCAAGGTCGGAATACACCTGCCTCTGATAGCTGTTACGATGTAACTTCTGACACAACTCACAAGAAATACATGACCCTTTGTCTTTATACTTTAATTTCCACTGAAAATAACTGTTATACAACGTCTCATTTGAGCTTACCGCTTTTACATATGTGACGAAACTTTTGACGTCATTAAAATCATAAACATTGATATAGGACTTTGGTATGACAATGTCTTCATCGATATTTTTCCAATTAACGATAGGAATTTGATCTCGCTTTAAAGCGTTCCAGTATTTTTCTGTTACATAGTCTTTACAGTGCGAGTTCTCAAAGGCAAGGTAAAATTTATATTGCTTTAGGATATTCTCACAACTTTTGTTTTCAATTTTCATACCACTTTCACAAGTCTTCTCGTAACATCGTCCAAACATGTCAATATTTAAATATTTTTGCAATTTATAAACAAGCTTAAATCTCTGCGCTTGATCTCTGCAGTTTGAAATCATTCCAATAAAATCCTTTGTTTTTTCTTTATAGAAATTCCTTATACTGAGTTGTCTGGAAGCGGTATGTCTTTCCGAGACCGAGGTATTTAACTTAAGCCTTGAACCATATGACAGCCAAAGACTCGCATCTTTTCTGTACCAAGCGGTCCAGTTGAATATCCCGTTTAAAGAGTTCAAATCCCAGTACATATTACCAGGGGGTTCCATGTTAAAAAGTACCCATACTTGATCAGCGCGTCGGTATTTTGGCAACGGTATCATGGCTTTTGTGCCTATTTTCCATTTCTGGAACAAATTAAAATTATTAAATATCACAGCATCGGCATGTTCTATTTTACTCTTGTTTGTTGTAAAAATGCAATTTTTAAAACACCCCCGTTGACACTTTTCGAAACTTTCTTTGATATCGTCTGCTAAAAACGGTGTCCATATAAGAATAAGCTTTTGTTTTTCTGATTTTTTATTCAATTCCTCATCAAAGTACGTCATATACGAGTATGACCCCATTTCAGAACGATTGGCAAAATATATTAAATATATAAAAATGTACAACAGAAAACAAACACATAAACATTTTGTCCAACGTTTTTGCGTCGTATAAATCCTCATGATTATGAATGACACTAAATGTATGTTAAATGTTTCAATATCCTTGGAGTTATCTAAGGTAGACACTATTTGTTGAATGATGATAAAAATACGGACATAGCAAATCATACCACTCTCTCGTATCAAGAAATGTTTACAAATGTAATCAAACTGATAAAGCAACTTTGTGGCTAAATTTGAATGTCGGTTGTAACGCCCGCGGTTCTTCATGGTTAGCCTCAATAATATGTGGCCCAGTGGTAATGCGTTAGGCGGTTGCAGGTTCAATCCCCAACTTACACCACTAATATGGTCTTTCAGATGAGAGCCGAAGTCCCATGTGTTGGTTCCATACACAAGGCATGCTAAAGAACCAACGTAGACTCTGGAACGGGGAAATTGTTATATTCATGCACAACCTCCGAACATATATAACAACTAACAGTCCCAGTTAAAATTCATTTCAAGAATTTAGGAGTATCGGCCAGGTGTGCTGAATGGTAATTTGTAGATTTTGATCAAGTGGTAATTGGCTGGTCTAGCAATCCAGGGGTCGCAAGATCGATCCCCACTAACGATTGTCTTACTGATGAAAACGAATTTTTCAGGGGACGTTGCCGATATTTCCAAACGAAATGTAGTTAAGAAGATAAACCGGAAGTAAAAAAAGACGCATTCATAGGAAACATAAGAGTTTGAGCGTTCACTCGTAGAAAACAAGGTTCGAATCTTGCAAAGGATTTTGAATTAATCCACGTGAAGGAAGTTATCCAGCAGGCCTGTAGGGGGTCGGTAAACAAGTGTACGTTGTTTTCTAAATGAAAAATCGTCGATGAAAATGAACGTGCCACATTAATTTCTTAAACATAATTCCCTTGATTTTATTCAAACATATTTAATTGCGAAAACTATATAACCCAGGTATCAATTTGGACAAAAAAAGAGGTTGATCCGAAAGAAAATCGGAACATCCTCGGCTATTATTCAAGACTGACGGAAAGGACCGAAATGTTACGATTGTCTCGACTTAACGACACTAGCAACGATGAATAAAATTAACATATGCATAGGATACAAGAATGACTTTCAGATCGCCAAAATGATTGATTTTTATGACAATTTGCAATAGAGACCTTTAACTACTAGTATATACAACAAATTGTATTCAGAAATTTTATCTATGACCTTATTATTTAGTGCTTCAAAGTTAGAACTTAGAGCGGAAGGAATTTGACTACTTTTTAATGATAAAAAAACTATATTATTAATCAGTGTGTGCGAACAAATAATTTAGCTACTACATGTACTTGAAATTTGAAATTACACATTACATACCACAGGAAATGCGGTATTCATTTTCAATTCAAATAATATTTCTTGTAAGAATATTTCGACATTGTCGTTGTTTAAAACAATCGGACTTTTCAAACAGGAAAATATAACTGATTTTCAAGGGGAAATACCTTTCTGTAGTGTAACATGAATATCACCATCAAACGTTGATAAATAAAACCGAAACATTTGTAGTTAGATAATTAGTCAAGAAAATAAATAAAATCGCCGCATGTGAAATGAAAGTCCATGACTGTCTGCGAAAAGAATAAATTAATGTTCATGGCCGTCATACAAACGAATGCTCATGGCCGACAGTAAAACAAATATTCATTGCTGTCAGTTAATTAAATAAACGAATTTGCATTGCTTCGAGCGAAACGAATATGCATAGCTTTCAGTAAAGCGACTTTACGAACAAATGTTAATGGCTATCAGCTAAACGAGTGTACGCTAAACGAATGCTCTTGAGCATTAGTGAAACGACAGTTTATGGCTATCAGCAATACGAATATTCATGGCCATCATCTCAACGAATGTCCATGACCGTCAGCTGAACAAGACTTTGTGTAAATGACTATTAAATATTAATAACTGTCGGCTCAAAAAATATTGAAGACTGTCAGCCAAAGGAATGTTCATGGCCGTCTGTTAAAACGAATGTTCATGGCTGTAAGCTTAACGACTGTTAAATGGCTGTAAGCTAAACGACTGTTAATGGCTGTAAGCTAAACAACTGTTAATGGTTGTAAGCTAAACAACTGTTAATGGCTGTGAGCTAAACAACTGTTAATGGCTGTAAGCTAAACAACTGTTAATGGCTGTAAGCTAAACAACTGTTAATGGTTGTAAGCTAAACAACTGTTAATGGCTGTAAGCTTAACAACTGTAAATGGCTGTTAGCTAAACGAATGTTCTTAACCATTAGTGTGACTATCAGTAAGACAAATGTACATGGCTTTCAGCTAAACATGTGTTAATTAGAGGTTAATACTTGGGTGATGTTCGCCATTATGCGATAATGGCCCGAAGATGTGCATAATGGCATGAGGGCCGCAGGCCCGAAGGAAATTATGGACTCGAGGGCCATTATCGCATAATGGCGAATAGCAACCAAGTATTTACATCTTTAATACCTATGTTACTATATATTTTATGACTGCAAGCCAAAGGCATGTTCATGGCGATTAGCTACAGTCGTCAGCTAAACGAATGTTCATTACTGTAAGCTAAACGAATGTTAATGGCTATGAGCTAAACGAATATTCTTGACCGTTAGCGAAACGACAGTGCACGGCTATCAGCGAGACAAATGTTCATGGCTTTCAACTAAACAAGTGCACATTGCTGGCAGTTTAACGAATATCAATGGCTGTCCACAGCCAAAGAAATGTTCGTGCCGGTTAGTCAAAGTTATGATTCTAGTCATCAGGTAAACGAATGTTCAGGACCTTTAGCTAAACGACTGTTATTCGCTTTAGTTGCCACACAACCGAATGTTCGAAACGAATGTTATTAACTGTTAATAACCTAAACGAATGTCCATGGCTGTAAGCTATGTGGAAGTATTGATGGGCATGTCAAACTCCAACCATCTATCGGATACCATTAATTGTGTTTAATAAATTTCGTTGACAATTCCCTGCACAACATAAACAAGGTGGTGCGTTTAAGCACGGCCTCGCTCTTATGAAGTATTTTTTTGAATACTGTAAGAGCTTCTGTATCTTCCGAGAGTTTCTCTACAAGAAACAAACTACATTTTTGTATCTCAAGCGCATAACTAAAATTTAGCTAACCAATAACAAAATGAGCACATTTTTGATAAAATTTTAACGGCTTATCAGGTCTCGACCGCCTTTTATAACTGGTAAATCATTACAAAGGAATAGTTTTGGTTTTATCAATATTTATTTCCATTCAGTTTTAATAATGCTATATAAAATCGTGCACACATACATAATATTTTTATGCAAACAAATATTTAAAAAATGTCAACACATAAAGACTGAAATATAAAAAAAGAACAAAAAAAATGTTAGAAAACAATCATGCAGTTCAGCTGTTCAGACATATGAAGGTGAAAGCAGTTAACACCTTGCTTATACGTCATTCGTCATTGTTTTTGTTGGCAGCGGCATGGGAACCAATCAAAACAAACTTAATGTACATATAGGAGTATGTGTATAGGTAATATCAATTTACCTTTTGTGGGGTTGGTTAGTATTGCTAGTTGGCCAGACGAATTTTGAAAACATGAATATGGTATACTATACATATACAATAAATACCGTATGTCACTTTGAGATTCTTATTTCTTCCCTTAAAACCCGGGAACGCTCAAACTGCCGTAAAAATAAAATGTTACGTTATGGCACTATAGGTGTATGAAACATCAACCCAATGGTCTATTAAATACAAATGTACAAGTAAGAGCTCATACTGCTCATGCCTTTGATCAAACTTAACATGAAATTCATTAAAAAAAACAACAACAAAAAAAAAAACAAAAAAAACCAACAGAAAATAAGAATGTTAATTTATAAAATCAGAGACATAGATAACATATAATAGTTATCTTTGTCTCTGATGAAATATCATGACCGATACGAACGGTGTTATGGCAACATAAAAACAACCTAAACTCTTGAAATGATGCGACCAATTTGTTATAATGATATATACATAGATATAAATAAATGACAGTATCTTAAATAAGTTTGAAAACTGACTATATCAGTATATATCCATTTGATGTAAAAAAAATGTGTAAATTGGCGTCCCTTTTTACTTAAATCATCATGAAACACACCATGTGGGACCAAACGAGATTTTATAGAATTAAAATAATTTAATTTACAACATTTTTTAAAAACATTTTTTCACAGCTAATCTTTGATTATTATGCATTGACACTGACTCGGCAATTTACATTTATTTTAAGGACCTAGAACTTAACATGTTAAATACAGTGGAGCAACTGTTTTTCCCGAAAACTAACTCTAATTCGAAATTCCCGAACTTAATAGTTCTACTAACTGTTTACCCGATTCACTTTTTACTCTTATATCTAATGGGAAAGATCAGGAGTTCTTTGTTTCAATTTTCCATTTTTGAAATTAACCTCACGGAAT